TCTTTTTCCTGGATCTGTCAGATTCAGTCATGATGTACAAATCCCCCATTTGTACCATTAGAATATACTGCATGACAGACAGCCCTTGAAAACTGTTCTGAAACTTCAGATTATACATATTGCAGACCAAACTACTAACTGGGGCCAATTATAAGAAGCATATACTTTGTTGTCAAATAATCACTAATTTGTTTCTGATCTGACATAATTCAAGATGCTGTTAATGCTCTATATGAGGTGGAAATCAGATTGTATACCGGTATATATGGTTCTATTGCTGGACAAAAGCCAATTTGATAAGAACACTAACATGTTTTGAACAACAGTGGGGATAAGGAATCCTGAAGAAGCATTGCAAACAAACCTTTTCTGAAATGTAATTACTGGTTCTTTTACAAATGATCTAGAGTCAAAAAATATTACCACCACCTTGAAAAATATTTCATCAATACATTCATCAAATGTATTGAATACATTTTATTTCACTAACACTATAACATTTCAGTAGAGGTTTACCTTTGTTATTATATTCCTAATTTTGACTGATCGTTGTATTTGTCTAAGTAGACATTGAATGCCCCATTGAATGAAGAAATAAATGTGCACTTACCATGGTATCTTACAAACACTTCAGGAGAAACAAAATGTATTTCTTTGATTCTTTTCAGAATGAGTTAAGTTGGCTTAGAATGAGGACTCCCATCTGAAGAAGTAGCTATGTCTACCAGGAAGGATGGCATTAATTACCTATTTGTATTTAAACCACTGGGATCCATATTCCTGATAGGCTGTGATACAAAGTTAACTTTCCTATTTACTCTTGGCATGAAAGAGGAGTAATTTCCCTGCCCCAGTGCTACATTTTCAAGGAGGAATAGATTTGCTTTGGGAAAAAGAGTTTTCTAAGGAATGTCTGGGGATTTTCTTTTCTCAGACCAGCACCAACAAGAACCATTCATTTTTCTACCGTCTCCTTTCAGGCAGCTGGCATTTCTCTCTAATTTTCCAGAATTTTTCAGCATTTTAGGTACTGCAGAAAGTGACCAAACTGCTAACACAGTTGCATCTTCTGGCACATGTAACATTATTGTTGTTGGAAAAAAAGGAAATTTTTGTGCTAGTTACTATTGTTGTCAATGCAATTCATAGTAAGATGGCCCTTAAGAAAGCTGCAGACAAAATATTTTTATCTCTGGAAAACATTGGATGAAACAGTCACCTGGATTTAGAGAATTCTGGAGAAGACTGGAGAATTTCTGAACTACCGTTAGTTTAATTACCGTTTAAACTTACATCATTCAAAAAAGAGACTTACAACCAGTTCTCAAAGTTATTTGATCAAAATTCAGGCACTTGGCAACAAGCTCATATTTATGATGGTTGCAGCATTCCACGGTCATCTGATTGCCACCTGTGACCTTCTCAGCTGTCCTCTGACAAGCAAAGTAAATGGGGAAAGCTTTGGGTTCACTTCTTTACATGGTCTCCACCATTGGCTACAAACTTCTGCCAATAATGGACACCTAGTGGATCACCTAGCAGAGGTCTGCGCCCAGTGCAGGAATCAACAGATGACCATTCAGGATGCCTTTAAACATCTTTAGAGAGAGAGGTTCCACCATTTTCTGAGGCAGTCATGTCCATCACTGAAAAGTTCTTAGTTAGGAACTAAGGTCAAAAGAGTCAAAATTCAGACACAACTCTGAAATCAAAACCTCTGTTTAGATGCACTGCATGCAGGACTTTGAATGTGTCGTTGCAGCTGCCATCTTGAATTTTTTACATATCTCTCCCATGTATAGTATAGATAGTATTTAGTATAGATAGTATTTATTAAATTTTCTGAAAAAGTTTATAATGGTTGTTTTGATATTGTTATTAGAATATCACATATAGATATGGCTGCCTGATGTACTTACTCAGTATTAATTTCAATAGAGCAACAATGCACCATTATGTGTCCACACTACTAGAAAAGATGGAAGATGTGTTGGAGATTTTAAACTATCCCACTTGAACGTTTTTATTCTTATGACTGTTAATGATAAAAGAACTCTGGTTTCTTTGCATCGGGTTGATTAAGGGGAGATTCTTCAGCCTGAGAATGATCAGACTTATTTTGTGTGCATGTGTGATGTTGCTTTTAACAAGTATGGTTTCAGTACCACAGAGTTTGACAAATTTCCCTCCAAAAATTGAAGTTATTAGCCTTTGCAAGATCACATCAGATTTTAATTAGCTGCCAATGATTGTTCGGGTTTAAATGATCATCTGCATGATAGAAAGGATTTCTAAATTTTAATATTCTCTTAATAGTTCTTGGATGTTATTATGTGTATCTGAGACATGTGCATGTATTGAAATATTTTCATTTATGTAGTTCTATCTTATTCCCCTCTTGATGATCTTGTTAAGGGGCAGTTCCCTCGGGCAAAGTATATCCAAGAAATCAATCATTTTCTCCCTGATCTATTTTGGCAGAGGCATATCTAAAAAATCCTCTCTGGTTTCAGATATACTAAAGCAGGGGTGTTGGACTTGATTTCATTGAGAGCTGCATCAGGGTTGTGGTTGACCTCAGGGGCCAGGGTGGGCATAGCAGGGGTTGATGTGACTAGGGTGGGTGTGGCCAGCTAAACATCACTCGTGTTGGGGGGTGACTATGGTGGCCCAGGTGGGGCTGAGGGGATCCATTGTCTCCAGCCGAGGAAGGTGAGACCAGGGCAAGCACCATACCCTTGTCCACCAGAGGAGCCTTGCTATCCCTCTCAGGCCATGCAGAGAACCCCCAGTGATGCAGGCTGCCTGGAGCCCTAGGCAGCAGAGGGCAAGGGCCCAGTCCAGCCTTTCCCAAGGGGGCACCCAGCTGCGCTTACCTCCTTCTCAACGCTGTTGCCGATTGACTTGCTTTCCTTGGCCAAGTTGTTCATGGTGTGTGTGGGAGGGCAAAATGTGTGGGTCAGAGGGAGGCCCACTCCCTCTCCCCATGAAGAGACCTGGCTTTGTAATCAAAGCATTCTCAGTGATAGGATGGGAGACCACCAGGAAAGGTCAGGAGGAGGGGACAAGGAGATGGCAAAAGGGCATTGGGGCTGCTCATGGCCAAGTGCTAAGGCAGAACTTCCCTCAGATCCTCCCTCCTTCTCATTATAATCTCGTTCCTTCCTTCCTTCCTTCCTTCTTTCCTTCCTTCCTTCCCTCCTTTTCTTCTTTTTTCTTCCCTCTTCATTCTCCTTTCCTTTTTCTTCCTTCCCTTCTTTTCTTCTTTTTGTTTGTCTTTCCTTTTTCCCTTCCTCCTTTCCTGTCCCTTCTTGGATGCTCAAACGCAAAAGGGGAAACATTTCTCGATGCCTCCTTGCCTTGTGATCAAATGCCACATTTGCTAGTAGTCTGTGGCCACTTAAAAGACAGAACAAACCAGGCTCAGTTTATCCCATGCTTGCATTTAGTGGGGACATCCACAGACAACAAAACTGTCAAAATGGTGACTGTGATAGTTGATCAGAGCTCCTCTGTTTTTTATGTACAACAGCTTTAGCATTTAGGAACAGAGGTAAGTTAGTTGCTTTTCTATTAATACATAATTGTTAAAAGGGGTCTTGTGTAGAGACTCTGCCATGGTCTAATTCAGACTGGAAATATAGCAAAGGAAAATATTTTCCCCCACTCTGCTTTGTCCTGTTTTCCCCACTGGAAATGGCTGCTTGCAACACACAAGTAGGGAATACTTTCCTAAGAGTTCTCAGTTCAAGAACACCAGTGTTAACTTGGATTGCCGACAAAGTCCTGTCTGTGACAAATCAGAATACAAAATTGCTTTCTCCTTTGAACCCAAGTCTCAATGGATCCAGGATTGAAGCAGAACTGTGTGAATTGGGGCATCTACAAACAAGTTGCCTCTCCTTCCTTCCTTTCTCTTTCCCTCCCTCCCTCATTCACTGCCTCCCTCCTTCTCATTTCCATCTCCTTCCTTCCTTCTTTCCTTCCTTCCTTCCTTCCTTCCTTCCTTCCTTCCTTCCTTCCTTCCTTCCTTCCTTCCTTCCTTCCTTCCTTCCTTCCTTCCTTCCTTCCTTGCATCTCATTCCCATCTCCTTCCTTCCTTCTTCCTTCCTCCCTCCTTCTCATTTCCATCTCCTTCCTTCCTTCCTTCCTTCCTTCCTTCCTTCCTTCCTTCCTTCCTTCCTTCCTTCCTTCCTTCCTTCCTTCCTTCCTAGCATCTCATTCCCATCTCCTTCCTTCCTCTTTCCCTCCTTCACTGCCACCTTCCTTCTAATTTCCATCTCCTTCTTTGCTTCCTTCCTTCTTTTCTTCCATGCTTCTCAGTAAAACATGAATATTCATAAAATACATTCATAAAACTGGATTATTGCAACATAGATTCCTTCAGTCAGATATAATTGTTGTGTTTGCCATTGCTTTCTTCTAGGATGTTTTTTTTCAATTCTCCAGTCTAAATGACCATCCTGGTTACCATTTCAGGGTATCATAAAACCACTATCCAAATCCATCCCATCTTTCAAAAAATAATGCAAAATCAAGTGGGCATTGTCACATGCTGCAAATTGCATCATACTTTGAAGCCACACTACAGGTCTCTGTATGTGGTGGCCACCAGGAGAAATGGCCAAAGAATAGGTCTATGCAACAGTTGTTACTTGGTTAAAATAAAAAAGTTACATACATTTATTTTAACAAATTGTTCTCTGTTAAAGCAAAACAATCAATCCTTTATTAAGATGTTTTTTCCCTTTCTGACTTTTCCTTCCTTCCTTCCTTCCTTCCTTCCTTCCTTCCTTCCTTCCTTCCTTCCTTCCTTCCTTCCTTCCTTCCTTCCTTCCCGATTACTCAGAAAATTTATTTCACAAACACAAAAGTTTTGAAAGGTCAGATAAAGAATAACTCTACTACTATTGTACACATCACAAAGGTTTTTTGTAAATAATGTAATACATTTATGGCAAATGAATAGCATGAATATGTACTTCTAAATTTATGGGCAACTAACTTGGAAATGGTATTCTTTGAAATGTTTTTTTCATGGAATTTCTAACTTCTTTGTTCCTGAAACTATATATGATGGGGTTGAGCATAGGAATGATCACAACATAAAATACAGATACGATCTTGTCTTGTTCCAAGGAATAGCTGGAGCTAGGCCGCAGGTACATGAAAAGAACAGTCCCATAGAAAGTACAGACAACAATCAGGTGGGAAGAGCAGGTAGAGAATGCTTTGTAAATACTTTCAAGTGAGCGCATTTGGAGGACTGTGGCAAGGATACAGCAATAGGAGATTACCACTATGGATGTGGTGGCAACCTCATTAAATCCTGCAAAAGCAAAGAGCAGAATCTGAACGAGCTGGATGTCAGAACAATAAAGATGAGTCAGAGGAGGTCCATCACAGAAGAAATGGTTGATGAGGTTGGAATGACAGCAAGTTAATTTTAAACGAAATCCCACTTGTATGGATGAATTTAGAAATCCAGCTATATAGCACAGTACCACTAATGAAATGCAGACAGTTTTGGACATGATGGTGGTATATTTTAATGGGTTGCAGATGGCCACATATCGGTCATATGCCATCACAGCCAGAAGGTAGCATTCAGTAGTTGCTAAACCTGCATAAAAAAAGAGTTGTAAGATACAGCCAGTGTACAAGATGACTTTCCTCTCTACCAGGAAATTCACCAGCATTTTGGGGGTGACAACAGATGAGTAGCAAAGGTCTAAAAAGGATAAGTTGCTCAGAAAGAAATACATGGGGATTTGAAGATGAGAATCATTTTTCACAGTCACAATGAGCCCAACATTCCCTACAATAGTGATACTATAAATCAGTAAAAATATCACAAAGAGCACACACTGTAGGGTTACATGATCTGTGAATCCTAGAAGAATAAACTCTTCCACCTCAGTGCAGTTTCCTCCAGTCATCTCACTGGTTTAGTTGATTCTTCACTGAAAGAGAAAAATCATGCAAAAATAAGTTCTCAAAGTTGAAGGAAACTTTCTCATTGAAATCAAACATTAGGTTTAGATTCCTGGAAATCCATGTCAGATTAGAAATTTTTGCCTTGAATATATTTTATCTTCCTTTTAAAGGAAATTTAACTATAAAATCATTTGAACATTATTTTTAAAGAACTCAGCAAACTGATATTTTGCCTATTAGTTTCCTTCGTGGAGTTCAGTTTCATGAATGTTGATGTTAAGAAAATTAGACCATTTTTTTTTAAAAAGAAAATATTTTCTTTTTTTCTTTTTCCCTTTGAAAATCTGTTTTCATTTTTCTAGGTTGGGAAGGACAATGACAGTTATCATAGAACTAACAGTAACAGAAACTTGTCTTTTGCTTCTATCCATTTGAAAAACAAATATTGTCGATCAAGTTCTTCAGTAATTTGTGTAATTTCCTATTTTTGGAGCAGGTCCGTTTATTGTGATAGTAATGAAAGAGTTTAGCATGAGGTTTATTTGCAGATTAGTCAAAGAAGCTCTTAAGAAGCTGTATGGGAAGACAGTCCTATAGATTTTGAGTTCTAATGCTCTCTGTTTCTGAGGAGAATATCTGCACACAAAACAGTAATTATATATTGTCAGGTTTGGTGTAGACATTTGTCTGTAGTTCTATTAAGTATTCTTAGAAAATAAAACTCTAAAGACTGAGAGATGGCAGTGGAGATTTGATTGAGATCATGGAAACCATTTCTGAATCTGCTACTCCCTGTATGAAGGTGACAACCATGTCCATATTTTTCTACTGAAATCCAGTGAAGTTGTTTCAAGTTCTGCTGGAATACCTGAAATTAATAATGGACTTGGTGAAGCAAAAGAAACTGCATCTAATATAGATAAGACAGAACTTATTCCTTATTCCAAAAAGAAATTCAGGAAACAGTGATTCTATCTGTGCTAGACCAAATTGTACTTCTCCTGAAACCTCTGCTTCATTATTTGTGTTTCTGTATTTGGATGCTCAATGTTTGATGGTGCTCAAAAGTTTCTTTGCTTTATTATGATTGGCATGTTTTTTTTCCTGGACATGTTAGATTCAGTCATAATTTACAAATCCAGTTGCATCCCTTTGTACCATTGGAATATACTGCATGAGAAACTGCCCTTGAAATTTGTTCTGAAACTTCAGGTATTACATAATGCTGATCAAACTACTAACTAGGACCAATTTTAAGAAGCATATACTCTGTTGTCAAAATACTTACCAGTTCATTTCTGATCTGGCATGATTCAAGGTGCTGTTTATGTTCTATATAAACTGGAAACCAGAGTTCTTAAAATATCATATTCTACCTTACTGGTCTTACTTGAGACTGAAGATCTTTAAATGAGTGTGATTTTGGTTCCATTGCTGACAAAAGTCAATTTGATGATCAAATCAGCTGCAATATTTTTAGAGGAATTGACATGTTTTGAACAGTGGGAGTGAAATCCTGAAGAAGCATTGCAAACAAACATTTTCTGAGATCTAATCACTGGTTCTTTAATAAAAGATCCAGAGTAAAAAAATATTACCATTACCTTGAAAATATTTTCTATTGATGAATACAGTTTTATTTAACTAACACTATATAAGATTTCAGTAGAGGTTTACCTTTGTTATTATATTCCTAATTTTGACTGATTGTTGTATGTGTCTAAGTAAACATTGAATGCCCCATTGGATGAAGAAATAAATGTGCACTTACCATGGTATCGTACAAACACTTCAGGAGAAACAAAATGTACTTCTTTGATTCTTTTCAGAATGAGTTAAGTTGGCTTAAAATGAGGACTCTCATCTGAAGAAGTAGCTATGTCTACCAGGAAGGATGGCATTAATTACCTATTTGTATTTAAACCACTGGGATCCATATTCCTGATAGGCTGTGATACAAAGTTAACTTTCCTATTTACTCTTGGCATGAAAGAGGAGTAATTTCCCTGCCCCAGTGCTACATGTTCACAGAGGAATAATTTTCTAAGAAATGTCTAGGGATTTTCTCTTCTCATACCAGCACCAATCAAATCAGTCAATCAGAATAGAGCTGGAAGGGATCTTGGAGGTGTTCTTGTCCAACTCCCTGCTTAAGCAGGAGACCCTATACCATTTGAGACAGGTGGCTGTTCAGTCTTTTCTTAAAAATGTCCAGTTATGAAACACCTACGATTTCTGAAGTCAAGCTATTCCACTGGTTAATTGTCCTCACTATTAGGAACTTTCTCCTTAATTCCAGGTTGCTTCTCTCTTTGATCAGTTTCCAACCATTGTTTCTTGTCCTGCCCTCTGGTGGTTTGGAAAAGAAGTTGACTCCCTCTTCTTTGAGGCAGCCCCTCAAATACTGGAGTACTGATATCATGTCACCTCTAGTCCTTCTTTTCTCTAGCCATTCCTGCAACCATTCTTCATATGTTTTAGCCTCCAGGCCTTTGATCATTTTAGTGTTCTTCTCCGAACTTTTTCCAAAGTCTCAACATCTTTTTTGTAGTATCTTTTTTGGTTGTAGAATTCCAGGTGTGGTCTTACTAGGGTTTTATAAAGCGGTCCTAATACTTCATGTGATCTTGACTCTATGCCTCTGTTTATACAACCCAGGATTGTATTAGCTTTTTGGCTGCTGCTGCACACTGCTGGCTCATATTCAAGTAATCATCCGTTAGGATTCCAAGGTCCCTCTTACAGTTACTGTTTTTGAGCCAGGTCTCACCTAATCTGTATTTATACCTTTGATTTTTCCTGCCTAAACTTTGCTTTTCTCCACATTAAAATTCATTTTATTGGATAGGGTTCATTGTTCAAGTTTGTCAAGATCTTTTTGGATCCTGAGTTTGTCTTCTGGGGTGTTGGCTATTCCTGCTAGTTTAGTGTCATCTGCAAATTTGATGAGTTCCCCTTCTATTCCCTCATCTAAGTCATTTATGAAGAGTACTGGGCCTAAGACAGAACTCAATACATGCTTCCCTCCATGTAGATGTAATACCATTAAGGACTACTCATTGAGTATGGTTTGTCAGCCAGTAATAAATCCATCTGATGGTGATANTGTGGTCTACTTTGTCAAATGCCTTGTTGAAGTCTAAGTATGCTATATCCACAGCATTTTGTTGATCTACTACTAAGTTAGTCACCTTGTCAAAGAATGAAATAAGATTAGTTTGGCATGATCTGTTTTTAACAAACCCATGCAGGCTTCTAGTTATAAGGCATCTAGTTTGTTTCTAGATGTTCACAGATCAGTTTTTAAATTATTTTTTCCAGTATCTTCCTAGGTATTGATGTTAGGCTGATTGGTCTGTAGTTTCCTGGGTCTGTTTTTTTTCTTTTTTGAAGATGGGAACCACATCAGCTCTTTTCCAATCCTCTGATATTTCCACAGTGATCCAAGATTTTTTAAAAATATGATACAATGATACTGAGATAACATCTGCCAGATCCTTCAGAACTCTGGGATATAATCCATCAGGTCCCAATGATTTATATTCATCAAGGTCAGACAGGTATTCTCTTACCATTTTCTTGCTTATTTTAATTTTTATTTCTAGTCTGTCTTTTACAGTCATGTTTTTGGTTTGTTGAGCTATAGTTTCATTTTGTGTGAAGACTGATGCAAAGAATAAGTTAAGCAAGGGTTTTTTAAAATTATTTTTTCCAGTATCTTCCCAGGTATTGATATTAGGCTGATTGATCTGTAGTTTCCTGGGTCTGTTTTTTCCCCTTTTTTGAAAATGGGAACCACATTTGTGATGACTCCCCCAGACAATTCCCCAGATACCTCTGTAGATGTCAGCTTGGGGGAGGATGAACTGGTTCCTGGCATGTCAGAAGTTGGGTTGATTGATGGCTCTGAACAGCCATCTGGAAGGAATTTGGCTGAGGCTCCAGCTGGGGAAAGCATGCAGTTACAGATGGTCAGTGAAGAGGAGAAGGAACTGCCTTCTACACCTGATCCAAGGACATGTAGGGCAGAGAAAAGGCAGGAGTAGAAGAGGTCAGCCAGACTACTCGAGAGGAGAAAGCCTTGCCCTTCTTGATGGGCTGTGCCAGACAGAGGGAGGTATTGCTGGGAACAATGTGTTTCTTTTCTAGCTGTGTGTGTTCGGGTCATCGTCATCCCTGCCTCACTTTGGATTGACACAGTGTTTGGAACTGAATCATGTCTTGGAAACTTTAGACTTTTCTTGCCTTGCGAGCTCTCTTGTGCATGGATTTAAGTTTGCCTGGTGGATTTAAATTTGTCTGGAGGATTTATTTTGTTTGAGAAACTTTCAAGTGCTTTGTGAACTCTTTGGCCATTGCTCTATGAACTAACATTGGTTTGCTTGTGGCTGGAATTAATTGGGACAGTTCTGGGTTTTGGTGAAGGGAATTGCTGGGGAATATTAATAAACTGTGTATGCGAGTGAGCAGGGCAGCCCAACATCAGCTCTTTTCCAATACTCTGGTAGTTCCCCAGTGCTCTAGGATTTTTTTAAAAGATATGGTACCAAATATGGTTTCACCAAAGAGAAACTATTTTTCTACCATGTTCTTTCAGGGAGCTGGCATTTCTGTCCAATTCCTAATAATAATAATAATAATAATAATAATAATAATAATAATAATAATAATAATAATAATAATAATAATAATAATAATAATAATAATAATAATAATAATAATAATAATAATAATTTAATTTGTACCCCGCCCTTCTCCTCTTGCTGTGGTGGCGCAGTGGTTAGTACTGCAAGCTAATTCTGCTGACTGCCGGCTGCCAGCAGTTTGGCAGTTCGATTCTCACTGGCTCAAGGTTGACTTGAC